ACGGCAGGTCCAGCCCCAGCACTTGGACGGGATAACGCCGGTGGGTCAGAGCCGTGCTGCAAAAGCAGCTGAAAGTTCCTTAAAAGTCTTTGACCTGCTGCAGCCCGGGCTGTGTGGCCGTGACACTGGTGGCAGACGTAGTTACGTACGTTGGAAGAACAGACACGTGAATCGCTCGGTGATGGCAGCACGGCGGGGATGGCAGCGGGGCTTCTGCGGCGTGTCCACTGCGGGGGCACTGGGTGGGAGGTGAGATAATTAGCTGCTTGATGATTACAGCAGTAAAGAGGCTTTGCCTGGCAGCGTGAAAGGAACTGATGCCTTGCCAGGTTATTTAGTCGCAATAAATAATTTTAAAGTATTCAGCTGTTATTTACGTTAAAGCAACGTTTGATGCCTCTGGGCAGGAACATAAGGGAGATTCAATATTTGTTACACATTAATTGAGCAGACTTAGGTGAGTAAATTTACTTTAATAGGTTTTTTTGCCTAATAATATTAAGCCTGGAAAAGAATGAAGGAGAGGTTTGCTGGAGCTTCTGGAGCTGTGAAAATCCGTTGGTTCCTCACTGTCTGATTGTGTTTTCTAGAGCTTAGGAAAAAAGTCCCCATCCCTGGCAGTGTTCAAGGCCAGGTTGGATGAGGCTTTGGGCAACCTGGTGTAGTGGAGGGTGTCCCTGCCCATGGCAGGGGGGGTTGGAACTGGATGATCTTTGAGGTCCTTTCCAACCCAAACCATTCTATGATTCTATGAAAGTTGAGTCTCAGCTGTCCCACAGCTCGTGACAGCTTTTTGTGATGGTGGTTTGTGATGGGGGTCGCAGTTGCAGGCAGCAGCTCACTAATGAGACTCTTCACGCCTTGGTCTGGTGACAGCGATGCACTTCTTTATTTTTAAGCACGCGCTTAACTTCCATTAACTTAAGGCAGCATCCTACCAAATAAGTGTGTTAAGGTAATAACAAGGTAATTAGTGAAGGATTTTAGAGCCTTGAACTATCCCCAGTTTCACCTTGGCCCCTTCTGGCTGGTGGCTCCACGACCAGCTGTGACCCTTCTCCGTAGCCACAGCAGCGACCACCGTTACCTGGGATCGATCCACCCAAGAGAGAGATGTTGGGAGAAATCTCCAACGCATCCCTGCGAGAATAAAGAGTGAATCTAAGGAGCGCGTTGGTCCCTGTGAGTAACTCCCTGCGCTCCCATGAGTGCCATCCCCTCCCTGCGGGACAGCCCTCCAGCCCTCTCCGTGGTCAGACCTGGAGCGCTGCGCGTTTTTCCATCTCCTCCTCCTTGTGGAAGGGGTCTTAAACGCAGTCCTGGCTGCAGCTCTGCTGGGCGTGCGAGGGAGGAGCGAGCAGCACTAAGATGAACCTGCCACTGCGACAGCC